TGTTTAACGCCGAACTCAGCAATATTCAGCCAAATGATGGCGGTCTGTAAATAATTGAGTCTGGAACAGACAATCCAGTGATTGACATCATGAGCATCGCTCCCGCCAATTGGGATACAATGACATGCATCAACCAAGTCAGCGAGCCCGACCACCCGATCCCATTAGTCGCCCTTTACGACAAGCATATTCGCCTTTTACGGCAAGCATGGGTTGCTGAAGACCTATTCTAACGAATAGAATACGATGGCAAATAATTGAGGATGCAAGAAGCTACGGCGATGGAATCACTGAAACTAATAATAATTGTAGACAGTATGCTACATAGAACTGATATTTTTACTCTCAGAAAAAACTACCCAATGAGGCCTGGGCAAGTAATTGAATTTATATAAAAAAATGTCCACGCAAACACTTCCCCTCTCCTGCTCCATGTTAATAATAATTCATCTCAATGATAAAGGTAAATCCCTTGATCCAACAGCAGGTCACTGCGACCTTACTGTTAAGAACCAAGTCTACTTATGACTGATATATTGACACTTGTTATCAGGTCAAGGCGACCTTTCAACACAATCAGTATGTATTTAAATAGCTCAGACAAATTGAAACTGATTTAATTTCTGCTGTTTTGATAAAACACAATATTTTCATGAAATCGAAACAGTTTCATGTTAACCTCAATAATAAAAAAAACTTTAAATGTCCCAAGTCTTGAAATTGCTAAGCATGATATGGTCAAATATTTCTTAATTCTTTCAGGGATTATTCTAGGATATTTAACCGAGTGCCAATGACAGGAAAAGTATTTTGTCCAAAATTGTCCAAAAGTATTTTTATTCATATTCAGAGGAAGATTATATCATACATGTTCCAGGGCCTCAGTCCATGTAAATGTTGTATTCAGTAATTTTCTCCATTTTAGTGAAATTTAATCCGTGAAATTCAAATCACCCTGAACATCTAAAACATTAAAAATGTCATAAAGAATGAGAATGGATATTTTCCTTTTTAGCTAAAACTTATTTGCAATGGAGTGTGGTCAATAAATTGGGGGTGTTTATCATGTTTATGGGAGAAGCCATCAGATTTTAACAAATGTCTGGTCACTAAAATTCATAGAAATTCGCGGAAGATTCTCACCCTGCCTAAAGAAACTATTTCAAAAACCAGAATTGTGATTGGGGGGTACCCAGAAGGATGAGATGATATTATGAAACCTAACACCAAATATGACCTTGGGACTGAAATACTCCCCAGGGAGCTGAGATAATAACGGACACGATCCATTGACCAGGATAATGTCAAAAGCTTGAGCAAACGCAGTGTGGAGTCTCACGCCATATAAACAGCCTATTATCATTTATTAATCCTGTGTTTATATTTACTTTTGTTGTTATAATCCCTACAGTGTCCACAGCACACCGACAAGCGTGATCAGGTTTTATAGTATCAAAGTCCCACAGCCGTATAACGGCTTGGTGTTGCAAGTATAAACCCAGTGTCTAAATTCCTTCCCTTTGTGACCTGCTAAAGACCTGAAACACTAACCGTGTGTAAAGCACTTCTTGGGGAATTTAAGCACGCTTTCACGTACACGACGTTTTTTATTGAATTAAATGAGCAAACAGTGGAAGAGCTCTGCTACTCCCGACAGACCCACGTGGTTTTTACCCCGACGAGTGAGCTTACAGGACATGGCTGGTCTGGCTTAGATGTATTAAGCCCGCAAATTTATGCTTCTGCTTCATGAACATGAATAATAAATTTTTATTTCTTTTCTTTTTTTTAGCAATATTCCAGCTATATGACGGCGGACTGTAAATGATCAAGTCTGGGCCAGACAATCCAATCCCGTTAGTCGCCTGTTACGACAAGCATAGTCGTCTTTTATGACAAGCATAGTCGCCTTTTACGGCAAGCATGGGTTGCTGAAGACCTGTTCTACCCCGGATCTTCACAGGAGACAAGCATGGGTTCCTGAAGACCTGTTTACCCTGGATCTTCACGGGTTGAATGATATGTGCCTATCACATATGCACAAGAAAATCCAATCCTCTGTATGATTGAAAGAATATCACTCCTTGACATCATGTTTGTAGTTTTGTTTCTTCTTTCTTTAATTCTCCTGCAGTGTCTTGGTATATTGATCAAAAGAAACACACGAAATTTATCTTTTTGTTTTGACCTCAAAAACTTTCAAATAAACATGAACTAACTGGGATTTTTAAAACAATATAATTTTTCAAAACATATTTTTTCTTTGCAAATTCTTGCAAATTTATTGTCATGAGCCACAGTTCCTATGGATGCAGTGCTTGTCATAAGAAAGACAATACTGGGGATTGGGTGTCCAAAATGACCTCTAAATATGGCCAGGGCAGTGATAAGGGATTGTTACTCAGTATCTTACAACGTTACATGTTTGTTGCTCTAACCATCGGGAGTGTCCATCAGACCTGTTTTGAATGAGTTTGGTTCACTGTTTCTTTGGACAGAATTTCATACATATCTGCACATTATTGTGGTGCAGGCACACCAAGAATTACATTAGGGCCAAATCTGGGATTAAATCCTTGATCATAGGATCCTGGCATGTCTAAGGGACGCAACTCTGCACATGGAATTCAGGTGCATTAGACAACCAGGCCACCCATTTCCCCGTCAGCTCTTAAAACAAGCGGACTGGCTCTGTGGTCTAGTGGTAGAGCGTCCGCCTGACGCGGAAGGTCCGGAGTTCGATCCCCAGTCGAGTCATACCAAAAGACGTTAAAAGATGGTTCTTGTTGTTACCCTGTCTGGCACTCGGCTTTAAGGGGCTTAAACACGGACTGGTCAGCTCGGAGTCAGTATACTGTGTCTGAGTGGGGTATTCACTGTGGCATGGTATCTCAGTGAGCTAGCACTATAAATCGGCATCAGTCCGGACTAGTACAAGCAGCCACACACACACACATGTGCATGCACGTCGCTATATAAGTGCAATAATCTTGGACGCAAAGTTAAACCCCATTTCACCTCACCTCACCTCACTTTTGGAGAGAAAAAAGACGTGTTTTTAGGCTTTCCTGTCATCAAAGCCTGGTCATATGCATGTATACACAGTTTGCTCCAGTTTACTACTTTAACTAAAGCACAGCTGAATCTGAGATAGAAAACCCAATGCATACACAGCATACCATCACTACCACCCTTTTGGTACAATACAACACAGAGGCTTAAAGCATGCTTGATTAACAGATGTTTGGGAATGGGCATGTGTCTGAGTGGGGTATTCATGTTAAACTGCGGCATAGTATCTCAGTGGGCTGGCACAATAAATCGGCATCAGTCCGGACTAGTACAAGCAGCCACACACACGTGCATGCACATCGCTATAAGTGCAATAGTCTTGGACACAACATTAAACCCCATTTCACCTCACCTCACCTCACCTCACCTCACCTCACCTCACCTCACCTCACCGTAAAACAAGCACCAGTGTTTAGGGAAGCTGTTCCCGTTGCGAAAATCTAAAAAAATGTACGATGCAAGTTGATTCTGTGTCTTTAACTCCCATTTAAACTGGCAACTAGGTAAACTCTAGAAGCACATGCTGGGGACTTGTTAAACTAGTTTGTGAAGCCCCATTGATGTTTACACTCCGCGTATCTCCAGCTCTTCAACACTCCAGGCCTTTCTTGGGGAACAATAACCTCGTGTTTACCCCAACTTCTCATGAATATTCATGTTTCCTGACCCTGCATATTAATTAGCCTTTAGAGTTTGTACAATGATGTCCTCACAAAGCTTTGATCACAGGGAGGGATCAGGCTGAGGGGCATTTACAACATACTGAATAAATCACCAAAGTTTCAAGGAAAACAATGCTTTAATTAAATTACCCTTTAACCGAAACAATGTGGTGACTTTTCTGACACCTCTTGCTTTAAGCTTGTGACCTGTGACAATTAACTTGTCTCACAAGGATCTTCCTTTAACCCCTTTAACACCTTTTAAAGAAAACCAACTTTCACCGACCTGGTTGATCTTCCCATAAGCAAGGTAAGTTTGTTTGTTTGTCTGTTTGTTGTTTAACGCCGCACCCACCAATATTCCAGCTATAAGATGGAGGTCTGTGTAAATAATCAAGTCTGGGCCAGGCAATCCAGTGATTGATATCATGAGCATCTCTCAAATAAAAAAATTCACCTTTAAACATGTTTAACGTACCAATATTTTTCAATGATTAAAAAATGTCAATATGTAGTAAGGTTCTTATTCATTAGTTGTTAGCAAGTGAATTAGTAATTTTCAAATGCATCACATTTTATGTTTTTGTCCACTTTTCATTGTTTTATGGTTAGCTTATTACCTTAAGTATTGCATTAATGTTACTATCCCATGTGAGACAATCACAGCAATGCACAGTGGCACATCGTGGAATACGGAGTGATGTCCCCTGTATATCTAAAGAATACCATTGATAGTCATGTAAGGTGAGGTGAATTGTGGTTTAACCTTGCCATACAATGACAAGCATGTCATTAACACAATGTAGATGCAGCTCACACAGGTTAATGGTTGAAGTTGGCAGGCACAACAAAATACCCAAATGTTTAAGATTATGTAAACAATGTTCTTTAAATGTTGTCGAAGATGAATTTCATGTTCTACTTGTATGTTGTAAATATGATAATTTAAGGAAAAAATATATTGAACAGAAATACTATGTACATCCAAATACATACAAGTTTATCTCTTTAATTTCACATGTGAGCAAAACGGCTATACAAAATCTCTCTCTCTTTATATATCATGCCATGTTATTAAGAAATGAATCCTTGTAACATTCCTAACCGCTTCCATATTGTCATGTATTCTGTACTATGGGCCTGTGGCCTTACAGTTATATATGAATAAACTGATTGATTGATTGATTGATTGACAAGCATGCATGTGCGCTGCTTGTTCTAGTCCGGACAAATGCTGGTTTTATAGTGCTAGCCCACTGAGATACCATGCCGCAGTTTAACACTGACACCTCCCAGACAGAGTATAATGACTCCGAGCCGACCAGTACTTGTTAATCCCCTTCCTGGCAGGGAAACAACAAGTACCATCTTTTAACATCTTTTGGTATGACGGTGGCCAGGGACCAGAGCTCCAGATAAGCTTTTGGTGTTGTGGGTATTTTACCCATGCATTTTAAAATCATTGGGTATCAGTAATTCTATCTGCGTATTCAAAATTCTGTTTCCCACTAGTTTTTACACATGTGGTTATTTAAGTTAAATATTTAAAAACACTATTCATCTAGTCCCTGCAAACTGGTGTCGTGTGGGTTCGAGAGCTTTATAGGACTCAAAAATACCACGATACTTCCACAAGAAAGTGTGATGGCAAATGATCATGATGTGAGTGTCATCGTGGAGTTTGGCAAGGTTGACGGAATGCCCGTTTATAATTTCAAAATAAGTTGCTGATTTGCTAATCGAATACGCAGGGTTACTTCACAATATTTTGATAATACGCACAAGTTTTATTTTCTTAGCGTATCTGTAATGTTTGTTGCGTATTTGATGCGCTTGGATTATATTTTACTGCGTATTTCTGCATTTCTGATGCGTATTTCACGCAGATACGCAGCCTATCTGGAGCTTTGAGGGACTGAACCAGAGGATCACTCTCCAGGTAAGCGCTCTATCCACTGGACCAAGGACATGGTCCAGTTTCCAGACAAACAGGGTCCACATTAACAAGGTTCCAGTGTACACGTATGACTAGACTAACACCTAGTCTCTGAAATGAACATATCTTACAGAAAAAAACAGTTGTTAAATTAACTTTTTTTTAAATATAATAAAAAGGAGCCTGAAGACTCTTCATTTTCAGATACTGCAGTAATCTAGACTTGCCCACTATTATAGACTTGCATGGGCTGTATTGGATATATTTGTATCAGGGGTCTGTATGACAGACTAATGCATGACCAACACTAAACATTTTGTCGTAGCCGCCTTCTCAATGTTATTGGTTACCAGAAAAAGTGTTTACGGACAGGCATGTGTATCCTATTTCTAACTCAATGGAGAGACCCAGTCATACACCAGTCTAGCCTGGCCTCAGTTGGCAAGGAAGAAATCTGTGTTCCGTACCGGAGACGAAGATACCTTAAAGCTTAAAGAAATAACCTGTGTTTCCAAATACATTGATTTCAAATGAGTCACATTTGTTGTTTTGGGTCAAATGCAGAAAAGTTTACAGCCATACGTTTCATGGTCTTTGAAAGGCATTTAGAAGTGATACACATTTAAAGAAGAGAATATATGGATGTCAACTTCTTTATTGTGAGGAACACAACGTCATCAGGTGAATGAATGCCATGAGGCAGAGAGCATATATATGTACATGTAAGGACAACAAAATTAATAAGATAACAAAAAGTGGAAAATAACAAAGGGTACAAAATAACAAAGGAAGCCAACAGATGATTGGCGCTGATAGGTGCTTAGCAATAGACCATGGAAGCCAACACTTAAGTTATCATAGATAAGTAATTGGTAATGGAAACTGGGCAAACAGAGGGGGTGGGGTGGGGGGGTGGGGTAGTTAGCACTGATAGGTGTAAGAATGGACATCTTATATATACATGATATATGCTCTCTGCCTCATGGCATTCATTCACCTGATGAAGGAGTAAGCATATACTCCGAAACGTTGTGTTCCTCATAATAAAGATGTTGACATCCATATATTTCAAAGACCTAAAAAATCTTAATTTATTTTTTATTAAATTTCTAATACCTTCACTTGGTGGTGAGTATGTTTGGTGAAATATGTATGAAACTAATGAACATGATGAATGACTTCTATTTGTCAAAAATATATTACATGAATGATTTCAATGATTTTTATCTAAGGGTTCTTACCTAGGAATCCTAACTACAATGAACTAAGTGCCCATGGTAGGAAAATTGGGAATTCAGCATTATTTTGTTTAAAATCATGATTATTTTTAAGTTCTTATTTTTTTCTTTCTCAAACGTTTCATGATTCACGTTGATATTTTTAACAGGACATAGGGGCCACTAGCTTCTGGTACCCTGCAACATACGGCGTTGTAAGAGGCGGCATCATGGATCGGGTGGTCAGGCTCAACGACTTGTTTGATGGCATGTCGTAGTAACCTGCTGACACATATCATTGCTTATACTACTGGTTATCTGATTATTTACAGGCTGCTGTCATGGTAACCTGACAGCATGGGAAATTGTTTATAATATTAATCACTACACTTTCTTGATTATTTACAAGCTGTCATCACATAGCTGGAATACTGCTGTGTTTGGCATTAAACAACAAACAAACAGAAAAGCGTGAGAGTAGGTGAGTGAGTGATTGTTTTTCAAACCCTGAGAAAGTGTTACTCTCTGCATGTGTGGTGAAGGGAGAGGGGGATTAGGGGGAGGGGGAGAGAGGGGAGGAGGAGAGAGGGGACGAGAGAGGGGAGGAGAGAGGGAACGAGGAGATAGGGGAGGAGAGAGGGAACGAGAGAGGGGAGGAGAGAGGGAACGAGGAGATAGGGGAGGAGAGAGGGAACGAGAGAGGGGAGGAGAGAGGGAACGAGGAGATAGGGGAGGAGAGAGGGAACGAGAGAGGGGAGGAGAGAGGGAAAGAGGAGATAGGGAAGGAGAGAGGGAATGAGAGAGGGAACGAGGAGAGAGGGGAGGAGGAGAGAGGGAACAAGGAGAGAGTGGACGAGGAGAGAGGGAACATGGAGAGAGGGGATGAGAAAGGGGAGGGAGAGAGGGACCGAGGAGATGGGAACGAGGAGAGAGGGGAGGAGAGAGGGGAGGAGAGAGGGGAGGAGAGAGGGAAGGGTCAAGAGGAGTCCAACTATGAGAAACGGGCAATAGGGATATTAATAAATTCATCCATATCCTATTTTGATTCATGACATTGGGGTCCACATGATTTTCAAAAGAGGAGGGGGAACAGTCGAACCCCAACTCACTTCCACCCTCCACACACAGGTCTATAAATCAACACTGACTGTGTCACAACAATGTCTGCTACACCATTCCTGATTACACAAAGGATGAGACGCCTTGTCACCACTCGGGACAGGGAGATAACAGTAAATCCACATGGTTCCCATGTGATCACTGCATCCTAGCCCCGCAATCCTTCCATCAGACAACGCAACATGCCATGAGGCTGCCCCATTTATCTCCCTAGGTGTCAAGCATGTGTTAAGGTGTCGCTAACACCTTAAATACACCTGTAACGAGTGGACAGGTAATGAGCGCGGCTAATTTCAGCCTGAATTGCTGGGCACGCCGGCACTGGTGTAATGTTTAAACATTATCCCTGGAATTCAAACAAGTTTGTTTTCTGAGTGGACACCTGTTTGTTGAGTCATTAATCTCCAATGATCTGTAAATGTGACATGAATTTCAGCAATCCCCTGGGGTTGAACACAGTTGCCTGACTTGTCAGAATTGTTGTTCAGCACGCTACTTAGTCTCCCGGGCATGACAAGATTGTGTTTTCAAATCGACTGTTCTTTTTGTCTGAAGAATGTTTTAGTACAGTTCGGTGGTGACTTTAACAAGTTTAAGTGAGTTAACCTGACCATAATTGACAACACATACAGGGGGAAACAGCCTACTCATGACACGGTAGGAAATCAGTTTTAGTTTGTTTCTTGTTTCCCGCTGCACTCAGCACTATCCACTTGTATCACGGCGTTCTGTAGTGAGTGAGTGAGTGAGTTGGGTTTAACGCCGCTTTTAACAGTATTCCAGTTATATCGCGGCGTGTCAGCTTAATGTGGGAGGAAAGCCCGAAGTGATGCAGGTCTCAGACGTTTACCACTTCGGTGAAACCCACGAGCACGGGTATGGTGCTGACAAACCTAGAAACATAATCGGGGCGAACTGGGATTCGAACCCACAATCATAGGTTTCTGGCGTGCCCAAGGGATGCAACTCTGCACAGCGAATCGGGCGCCTCAGACGACTGGGCCACCCGTGCCCCCACGGCGGTCTGTAAATACCGTATTTGACGTAATAAGCATCCCGCTCTAAAAAGCGCCCATGGCTTTATTTGCTAATATATTGGCTAAGTGAACAAACCCAATTAGCACTCCTTCCGATTGATCAATGTACACAAGACTTATTTATTGGCGTATAATACGCACTCGTGTGTTATATGCACCCTTAATTATGGGCAAATAAATTCTGGAAAAATATATCTGTCGTATATAAACATTTAAGGCTGTCGGCATAAACCACAAAATTTATCTTTTAACTCTGTTTTTTCACCAAAATAATATTCTAATAAGAGCCCCCTTTTTCTAATCTGAGAGCGCCCCTGGACGCTTATTATGTTGAATACGGTATTCAAGTCTGGACCGGAAAGTCTAGTCACTGACTTCATAAGCGTTGATCAACGCATTTGGGATACGATGATATGCATCAACCATGTCAACAAGCTTGGCCAACCAATCCTGTTAGTCACCTCTGACGACAAGCATGGGTTGCTGAAGACCAATACTAACCTGGATCTTCATGGGGGAGACAAGCAAGGGTTGCTGAAGACCAATTCTAACCTGGATCTTCACGGGGGGAGACTAGCATGGGTGGCTGAAGACCAATTCTAACCTGGATCTTCACGGGGGGAGACAAGCATGGGTGGCTGAAGACCAATTCTTACCTGGATCTTCACAGGGGGAGACAAGCATGGGTTGCTGAAGACCAATTCTAACCTGGATCTTCATGGGGGGAGACAAGCATGGATGACTGAAGACCAATTCTAACCTGGATCTTCATGGGGGGAGACAAGCATGGATAACTGAAGACCAATTCTTACCTGGATCTTCACGGGGGGAGACAAGCATGGGTGGCTAAAGACCAATTCTTACCTGGGTCTTCACGGGGGGAGACAAGCAAGGATGGCTGAAGACCAATTCTAACCTGGATCTTCACGGGGGGAGACAAGCATGGGTTGCTGAAGACCAATTCTAACCTGGATCTTCATGGGGGGAGACAAGCATGGATGACTGAAGACCAATTCTAACCTGGATCTTCATGGGGGGAGACAAGCATGGATGACTGAAGACCAATTCTAACCCTCGATCTTCACAGGGGGAGACAAGCATGGGTTGCTGAAGACCAATTCTAACCTGGATCTTCATGGGGGAGACAAGCATGGATGACTGAAGACCAATTCTAACCTGGATCTTCACGGGGGAGACAAGCATGGGTTGCTGAAGACCAATTCTAACCTGGATCTTCATGGGGGAGACAAGCAAGGGTTGCTGAAGACCAATTCTAACCTGGATCTTCATGGGGGGAGACAAGCATGGGTTGCTGAAGACCAATTCTAACCTGGATCTTCACGGGGGAAGACAAGCATGGGTTGCTGAAGACCAATTCTAACCTGGATCTTCACGGGGGGAGACAAGCATGGGTGGCTGAAGACCAATTCTAACCTGGATCTTCACGGGGGGAGACAAGCATGGGTTGCTGAAGACCAATTCTAACCTGGATCTTCACGGGGGGAGACAAGCATGGGTTGCTGAAGACCAATTCTAACCTGGATCTTCACGGGGGGAGACAAGCATGGGTTGCTGAAGACCAATTCTAACCTGGATCTTCACGGGGGGAGACAAGCATGGATGGCTGAACACCAATTCTAACACGGACCGTCACAGGGGTTGTTTTATTTGATAGGCATCAAATATGCCGATGCGCATGATGAGGGCTTGATCTAGCTATATCGATTATATAAGCGTGCTTCAGTGCAACTTACTGCAACTTGATCCCGATAATGCAACCTATATTTCATGTGTACTTGCACCTGGTGCACGGCCAAACTTAAAATGTTTTGTCCACCTTACTTGGCTTGAATTTACATAACAGTGATCTCTGACACAGTCTCTACTTCTCTTTATGGAAGACTATTGACTCTACTGTTAGGTTATCACTAATCCCAGAGTTATGTGTGGTTTGCCATGGTTTCCTGGGCTTAAGTGAGGTGAGGGAGCGGGGTGATGAGAGAGCGTGGTGGTGAGAGAGCGGGGTGGTGAGAGCGGGGTGGTGAGAGAGCGGGGTGGTGAGAGTGCAGGGTGGTGAGAGAGTGGGGTGGTGAGAGCGGGGTGGTGAGAGAGAGAGAGCGGGGTGGTGAGAGCGAGAGCGGGGTGGTGAGAGAGAGAGCGGGGTGGTGAGAGAGAGAGCGGGGTGGTGAGAGAGAGGGGTGGTGAGAGAGAGAGCGGGGTGGTGAGAGAGCGGGGTGGTGAGAGAGAGAGCGGGGTGGTGAGAGCGGGGTGGTGAGAGAGAGAGCGGGGTGGTGAGAGCGGGGTGGTGAGAGAGCGGGGTGGTGAGAGCGGGGTGGTGAGAGAGAGAGCGGGGTGGTGAGAGAGAGCGGGGTGGTGAGAGAGCGGGGTGGTGAGAGAGAGAGCGGGGTGGTGAGAGAGAGGGGTGGCGAGAGAGAGAGCGGGGTGGTGAGAGCGGGGTGGTGAGAGAGAGAGCGGGGTGGTGAGAGAGAGAGCGGGGTGGTGAGAGAGAGAGCGGGGTGGTGAGAGAGAGAGCGGGGTGGTGAGAGAGAGGGGTGGTGAGAGAGAGAGCGGGGTGGTGAGAGAGAGAGTGGGTTGGTGAGAGAGAGGGGTGGTGAGAGAGAGAGCGGGGTGGTGAGAGAGAGAGCGGGGTGGTGAGAGAGAGGGGTGGTGAGAGAGAGAGCGGGGTGGTGAGAGAGAGAGCGGGGTGGTGAGAGAGAGAGAGCGGGGTGGTGAGAGAGAGAGCGGGATGGTGAGAGAGAGCGGGGTGGTGAGAGCGGGGTGGTGAGAGAGAGAGCTGGGTGGTGAGAGAGAGCGGGGTGGTGAGAGAGAGCGGGGTGGTGAGAGAGAGCGGGATGGTGAGAGAGAGCGGGGTGGTGAGAGAGAGGGGTGGTGAGAGAGAGAGCGGGGTGGTGAGAGAGAGAGCGAGGGGTGAGAGAGAGAGCGGGGTGGTGAGAGAGCGGGGTGATGAGAGAGCGGGGTGGTGAGAGTGCAAGGTGAGTGAGTGAGTGAGTGAGTGAGTAGTCAGTCAGTCTTATAAGCATATGCTGTTTTTAGTAATATTACATCTTCCCGAGGCAAGAGAGTTAACTGACTTTAAAAGTCCAGTTTCCACCCTTGCCGAACTAGGCTGGAATTCCTGGGCTCGATCCTAGCGCCACCAGTGGCTATTATGAGTTATGTCCTTTCTATGCCTCTCCTATTGACCAATCAGATTCAACCTCTCGTATCACTTGCATTTGCTTCAAACAAAACGGCGACGCCCACTCAACACAATCTGATTGATAATCAAGATCTATTTTGTGATGAAACGAGTCTTACATCGCAAAGTGCATCAAATCACGTGAGCACCTTGATTAAAAACATGAAAAGATTTAGAAAATATCTGTTGACAACGAGTTAGCGGTGCACATGCTTTGCAAATCCTGCAGTCGACCGAAATCTGCATGACAGTTTACTAACCGGATTTCGATTTCAGTGCGCGATTTTGATTGGACTATGCATAGACTCGTTAGTCCAGCCAAAATGTAACTCCATAATACCAGCCTAGTTCGGCAAGGGTGGAAACTTGGACTTTTATAGTCAGTTAACTCCGTTGCCTCGGGAAGATGGTAATATTCCAACAATAGCTGGGGACCAAAGATATAAGAACATTTAAAGTGTTGCTTCGACTTACAAAAGCAGGGGTCCAGGGGACCCCCAATAATAAATTTGAAGGGTCCTAGCAGGCAGTGTGAGGGTCCTGTAAAGTAATGAAAATGAGTAGTGTGCTGTTCATTGTGGGACTGGAATGACTCAATGATCACGTGGAGTTGTGGACAGAGGTCATGATTGATGGATGAAATAACAGACACCCACAACTGCTCTTGATGCGCTGTGGGTACAATCAATATTACTGT